ACCCCCTTTGAAATCCGTTGAAATTCCACGCTTTTGCGTGGAGAGATAGGGCGGAGTATGAAATCACCATGACCACCCGACCTCATGCCTTTAGGCGATCACCTTTAGGAAAGGGGGTGGGGCTGGGTGGCTGCCCAAGCTTACGGATCAGAACGAAAAGGAATCGCCCACAGACCTCCCTCTAGGGTTATCCAATCCTAGCGGACCTCTAGTAGAGGATGGCACCAAGGACAAGGTGTTTGACTTCTAGCATCAGCTTGTAGTGATGATTTATTCATATCAATCCAAACCCTCTTGCACCGGAGTCGAGCCGTTATCTTTTGTGGCAGACCCGATCATCGCGGTCATGATGCCGAGGATGCTCATCGTGAGGCCCGTATGGACGATCTTCCTGCGTCCCTCGTTGCTGTCGGTGTAGCGACGTCCCAGCCACACGTCGATCTCGCCCTGTCCCTCGGGGCTGTCGTACCACGCCGCCAGACCGCGGATGTGTTCGGAGGCGCCCGGCAGCTCGAGGGCGAATCGCTCAACGTTCTTCCTCCACTCCTCCATTTGTGCGTGTGCGGATGGTGCGATGGAAGCGCCATCGTCCGTGCGCGCGTCCGCTATTTTATCATGTGTTCCGTCACTGGGCAAAACGTGATGACGACGCCGATCCCACCGTCGACCTCGTTCACGGCGCACGGTCTCAAGCGCAAGGCCCCCAGCCGACCGATCAAGCCGAACCCGAGTGCCGCCAGGCGCGCGGAAGCCGACAGCACCAACAAGCGCCGCCGCATCACCGAATCCGCACTCCGCGCCAGCGTGCTCGAGTACGTGCGTCTGGATGACAGGATCCGCGACGTCACCGCCGAGCTGAAGGGCGACAAGAAGCGACGCGAGCAGCTGCGGGTCGGCATCATGGACGCCCTCAAGGCCTCCGGCAAGCCGGCGTGCAAGACCGACGACAAGGGCGGGCGGATGCAGCACCTGCGCATCAAGACGCGCAAGGCCCGCGTCAAGCCCAAGCGGGCCGAGGCCATCGCGCGCATGGAGGCCTGGACGCTGGCGCGCGGCCTGCCGCCGGCGACCGGAGAGGAGCTTTACAAGGCCGTCTACGAGAGCCCCGACGCCATGGTGGAGAAGACCTCGCTGTGTCGCATCAAGCCACGCAAACCGCGACCGTCCAAGACCGCCGACAAGGTGCTCATGCTGGGCGGACCGCCTTCCGACGATGAGGACGAAGACAGCAGCAGCGGCAGCGGCAGCAGCTGCACCGACGATTCGGATGACAGCAGCAGCAGCAGCGACGACACCACCGCCACCAAAAAATTGAGTAAGTAAGATCCGGCAGAGTGTCGCTTCCTGAGTGGAGTTGTACTGCTCTGGAGGGATGTAGCCCATCTGCCACAGTACTACAGTAGCTCCTCTTCCTTGTTGCTGCTGCCTTGATCACTCACCAGCAATCCACCTGGTGATGGCTGGTGGAGATAACTTATTAAACTTGTTCTCTGCCATGTTGGTGTCTCCCTTTTTCACCATGCAGCCCTTGTCCCCTTGGATTGTGGCCTTCATCTTCTTATTGCAATGTGCTTCTTCCTCTGCTTGCTGCTTCTCCTTTTTGTTGTGTGGCACAGAGGGTTTGCTTGTGCCTTCTTGCAGCCTCTGACATTTGTGGTGTGGCCAATCTGGCAAGCACAGTGCGCACATAAAAGTGGACCCAAAACCTCATTAAGATATATTTCAGTGCACTTTATGACAAATAAATAACTTTGATGTGGTACAACTCAATGTGCGTGTGGAAACGGTGCATGCTGGTGCTGCACAATCTCAATGGCATCTTCCACGGATCCTGTGATGTCATGCACCTGCTCCCAGTGCAAGGAAGTGGCGTTATGTACTCACAGGCGGCCATAGCCATACACAACACAATAAGTTCATCAGTGTTCTTTCTAAGAAACTTGAACCACAACAGAGACAGCGGGCACAACGTACCAGGCAGCCAAGAACGGAAGGCAGACCAAGGCCCTTTAGGGCCAAGGATGGCATTGACACATATTCCATCTTGCTCGTTACACCCTGCTGCGCCAGAGATGATGTGTACTGGGGCCTTAGGGTTGATGTAATCCCGCTGCATCACCTGTGTTATAATGCCAGCTTCGGGTCAGGGCGTACACTCTCACGAGAGTTTGTGGAAAGAAGAAATGCGGATGGATACTTTACCGTTTCGTTATACACAGGCCAAAGCCGTTCGTAAGAGTGTTCATGAGCCTCGATGATGACATCAACACCATACTTATAGAACAGTTCTGTGAGGTGAGTATTCTTAAAGTTAGGCATGACACATGCACACACACACACACACACACACACACACAGAGAGAGAGAGAGAAACGAGCCTTCCAAGCCTGCACGGACAATCGAACGAGGGGTCGTGCAGTCATCTCCGTCAATGTTGGAGCAGTACATGGGCCGGTGGCCATACGCTATGATCCAAGGTGTCTTATCCCTAAATATATACCATTAGGAACCCAGCAGATTTGGGTGAGAACGGGTGGGGTCAGGACCTGTTCTTATTGGCCATGCGAAGATCATTCTCCAGCCAAGCGTATTGCACGGAGAGTCATTCGCGATTGACAAAGTAGACCTGTGGCATGCCACAACGCACGCGTCCGAGTGGCTGTAAGCTCGCGACAAATATTGATGCAGAACGTGTGCTGTGTGCTCTCATGATGGCGCAGACTTACCTCGGAAGAATACGCGATGAAGTGAACGTTGGCCAGGTCCCAAGAAAACCACATGTTCTGACTCCAGTTGCCTTGAGCACCCGGCATGGAAAAGCGATATGATGGGGTGGCGGCGGTTAGATTAGCGCTGGGCGAACGCCCAAAAGATTGCGTGTACACATGACTAATCTGTACAGCTGTCATACCTGTAATGGCTAAAGTTGTACGCAATCTCATGGTTGCCGGGGCACGTCATGTACGGCACATACGCAGCAATGCGCTCGATGCGCTCCATAAATTGATCACCTCGCTGAATGGAAGAAGTTAAAGGAAGCTCAGCTTTCGCGGTTAACACGACACACACGCGCGCGCGCACACACACACACACGACACACGACACACACGACACACACGACACACACCAGATACACATTCTTATAAGAACGCACCACACCACCGTTGTCGTGAAGGTCATAGGCAAAGTCGCCCACATGGATGATAGCCGTGATGTCTCCCTGTCCACGCAGTCTTCAGGACATTTGGATTTGCTGAAGCTCACCCATTTCGCGCGCGCGCGTGAAGGTGCGAGGGAGGGAGGCAGCCTTTTACCTGGGCAACCTCTTGGATAAGGCGGGGCAGGGTTGGCGCACCGCCGTCCTTCCCCATGTCGCCGTAGACGAGCAGCTTAGGCACCCAATCGTTACCTTCCCTCTTCGCTGCAGATGATAACGCGGAGGGTGGCACCCGTTCGGGTTACGACTGCATCAGCGTGGCTGGAGAGGGGGGGGATAAAGATGGCACACGCACCTGTGAAGAAGTACTCATTGGAGTAGCCGAAGCCGCTGTAGGCGCGGTAGTAGTACCTCTGCCCGGGCACCAGACCCTGCGATGCGGTGGGGCCAAAAGGAAGGGCTCAAGAGTCTGAGCAGCACAAGCAGCGGAGTGCTGGTGTGTGTGTGTGTGTGTGTGTAGGAGTAGTACGGTAAGGACAGCGCGATGAAGGAATTGAAGGCCATCGGGGTTGGCGTCAGCAGCTGTGAAGTTCCAGTTGGTCGCGCTCTGGCGGTGAGTGTACTGACCGGGCTCGCGGCCAAAGAGGACGAAGGAGCTGTTGTCGGCCTCGAGCACACTCGCCCACATCACCACCATCTCACTCGCCCGTTCGCCGTACGAGATGTGTACCTGAGGTGTACGCCACCATTCCCCACCACCACAAACAGCGTGAGGGACACGAAGAGTGCAGCCAGTCGCGTCTTTCTCTTGCATCAATCCAACAAATTATTGATGTGAAGATCTTTGGGGGGGGGGCAACCTGCTGCACGAGAGAAAAGGGAGCATCGCCAGCGTCGTCCTTGAGTTTGACAACAGCGTGCGTTGCGGTGAGCGTGGTGCCAACCAGGGCGAGGGCAAAGAGAAGGTGTGCAATCCGTCGCTCCATGCTGTGCGGCGGTGATGCGGATGGACTGGCCCACTGGGCCAGCTGTTGGTGAGTCGTGTCAACGGGGGCTCAGCGTGACGTGTCCATTTCCTCTCCTTATTTCCCCCTGCTCCCCCGAAGAGAAAATGCAGATAAGTGGCGGCGCAAAAACCACAAAAGAAGAAGAAAACCGATTTGTGACGAGCAAGATGGAGACCACACAAAGAGAACAAATCGCAGACGAATCGGAACAGCAGCAGCAGCAACAACAAGAACGACCCTTGGCTGAGTACTTGCGAAAACTGGAGGAGCGAGCCAAAGAGAAGCGCACGACAGGCGAGAGGGACGACAGCGAAGAAGAAGAAGAAGATGAAGAGCCCCGCAGATACATCGTTGGCGATCGAGAGGTGGAGCTGCCGCGCTCCGTGATACACCTCAAGTCACGAAACGGTGGCGACGTGTTCCTCATCGGCTCCGCTCACGTCTCTCGCTGGGTGGTGTCGGCGGTGGGTGGTGGGGCGGGCTGCTGCTGTGGCGCGAAGAGAATGCCAGCCCGACTGAGAGACAGCGACGACGAAAGGAAGGCGCCAACATCCTGCACCTGATCATCTCGATGGGTATAGCCATCTGGCCCTCTCACACTCGCTCCCTGGACTTTTGTAACGCGACCTGCAATGGCTCTCTTCTGGGCTGGTGCAGTATTTGAGCGGGTGACAAAGAACATCAAGGTGATGCCGGGCTCCGAATTCAGGGCCGCCGCGCAGGAGGGAATGAAGTACGGCGCTCGCATCGTGCTTGGCGACCGG